AGGATCGTCGAGGTGCACGATTGCCATGTGCTTGCAATGTGTTTAAGTAGACAGGACCTGTCGCATAGACGAAGCTATCTCGCTTATCTCGCGCAAAAGGTGCTGCAGTGCTGAAGGCCACTAGCACCCAAGCTGTTGATCAGAATGTCATTATTCGTCGCTGGTTTTGGGCTGGGCTTATCCATGCACGAGGGCATCGCGGTCGGGACAGTGGTATACTCTGCTGACCGGAACTCACCCTCAGACTTGAGCCGAGAGCCGTCCGCAGACTCAGAGACGGGTCGTTCTAATGCGACAACAAGAAGATGTAGGTGGCCACCCAAAAACAACATGAATGAGTTGAAGCTACCGTCAGATTGGCAGTCGCAGAGCAACACAACACTCGATACGATATCTCTGTGCAAACTGCTCACTCGCACTGGAACATGTTCAGTCGAGGTGTGTGGGCTTTACAAGTCCTGTAGCTGTGATGTCGGGCCTGGAGCTTGTGGAAGCGCTGAACGAGTGGCACTGGAACAACAACTGCTTCCACGACCACGTCTTGCAATTTGCGAAGAGCCATGAGTTGATTCTGAAATCGGATGAGGATGAGCATTCTCATGAGCTGTACCGGCTCCATGAAGAGTTCAGGCAGCTGCTCGAAGGCTTTGTTGCCAGCTTTCTGGACCATTATGGTTCAACTCTACAGGATTTGGAGGCTGCGCTGCTTGAAGCGCAGGCCTCGGATGACTTGTACATCACGATGAGTTCTGAGGTTGTTCGGGAAGAGCTCTTCGCGTTGCTGGATTATCAGGCCTTCCAGCAGACCATGCTTCGGGCAATTGCGGTGGATGCAGAATCGCACCGGCCAGTGGGTGCTCCTGCCGATGATGATCTCAGGGACTCGTGCAATGCTTCGGCTGTGGGGTCTGCAAAAACGGGGTCGGCAAGGAACAATGGATACCTGTCATAGTATTCGTCACATCACAGCAACACAGAAGAAACGACCTGGAGCATCAGAATCTTTCCTTCTGCCGGAGGAAGAGGTGTGCAGGAGCATCTACCTCGTCGATTCCGAAGCGCGCTGCCAAACATTGCCTGAACTTAATGAAGGATCGTCGGATTGCCGACAGATGCCAGGGGAACAGGAGCTGGAGAAGATGGAGGCAGCTGAAGTTGAGATTCTTGCGCACAGCGGGAGCGCAAGGAACGAGGGTGGTCTGATTTTCTTATTTTGATAGCGACCGGGTTCGTGGGAAAATTTAATCTAGGATGGCTCAAGCCGATTTTCTTAAGGTCGTTTTCTTATATAACTATATCCAAGATCCAAGAACGACTTTCTCCAACCTCAAACCCTTAATGAAGGCATGAATCTTCAAACATAATATTGAATACAACTCCGTTATCTCATTCTATAATAACTCAATTAATTTTCTTCTAAACGAGGTAGGTTCGGGACTCTGGAGATATATTGTATCTTATTTCTCTTCGTTCTAAATTATATTTAAATAAGAAAAAAAGACTCTCGTATTTTCTTATTTTCTTATATATTGGTATGAGACTCTGACATTTATATGATATAGGCCATATTTACGCACACTTATATTGTAGAGAGTGAAATAAGAAAATGAAGTTCTTGGACGATGAGGTTTTGGGTTTTCTCATTTAAAGGAATATTTTATATTTCGATTAGATTATTCTTAATTTCTATATCTAAAATTTTCTAATATTTTCTTGGATAGTGAAATGATTAGAAGATAATATATGAATTAAATTTATGAAAATATTACGATTATAAAAATAGATATATATATATATGGGAATATTTTATGAATGATTTAGGTAATAAATATATTTTATTTATTCTATAGAATTCTAAATATTTTTGCATATTTTTCTATAAAGAAGTATTAAATAAAAGAACTAAGAAAAGAAAAGAGATTAGATTTCTATAATAATTATTTCTTTTTCGATATTTAAGGAATAAAGCTCGATTATTTTTATAATAAAAAAATTGAGTATATTTCTATCTTTTCTTATTACGATATTAGAAATAAAGATTGTTTATATATATATCGATCTAAAATTCTTTGTGTGTTATTATAATGAAATCTAATTATGAAGATTCTTTCGAGAGCAGGGTCTCTTCTCTGGCCCAAAATAGCCTTTCTCGAGCCGAAATCCCGGCTTTGAAACAGATTAAATAATTTGACTTAAAATGGGTTTACCTGAGTAATATATATAATATTCGTAACTACTGGGAATTGGTTATTTATTCTCTTGGATTTATAACCCTGGTCTATATACGTAAATTCACGTTTCGCTGGGCGAAACTAGGGCGGCATGACGCGCAGTGGGCAGAAGATGAGGCCGAGGAATTGGTCCCTCCTTAGACTCAAATTATATTATTCTAATCTATCTAGCCTAGATACAAGATAGTCGAAATAATAAGGTCAAGACTTTCTCCCTCCCTCTCCTCCCCCTATCCCGCGCCCTCTTCTGATCTAAACCCCCATTCACGAGCCGAAAATCCGGCCTTGGGACAAATCAATTAATTTAGAAAAAATAGATTTGCCCGACGAATATTCACGATACTCGTAATTATTATAAGATAATTACTTTTTCTTCTTCGATTTACGAACCTAATTCATATGTGTAAATTCACGCCTTATTAAGTATAATAAAATAGAATCAGAAATACTAAGAAAATGAAAGAATAAATCTATCTTAGATTCGAATTATACGAAAAATTCGAATATGAAATATTCTAAAGAAATTAAAAAATTCTTTTTTAATGTTTTTGATAGATTTTGAGATATAGAAACTGTATTTTCTGATAATATCTTTTAATGAATCTGCCTATTATCATTATTATTCTTCTTATTTTATCTCTTTAAAATTCTCTCCATATTTACAAATTAAAAAAATATTCTACGAAATCATATTATCCGATCCGACAATATCCATTTATTTTATATAATATCTTATATTCTATTTAATTTATTTTATCAGAAATCCCCAAATTCATAATTTCTTATTCTATATACCTCCTCTTTCTTTTCAAATATATAATTTATTCTTATTAATCTATTTCGAATAAAAGGCAAGCAGCCCCTAATTGCCTCTAGATAAACTCGTCTTAATTATTATATCTCATCGATATCTCTAATCAAATCCAACTTCTTTATCTACGAATCCTCCGACCTCTTTCAAATCGACTCCATTCTCATATCTTAATATATATTTTTTAAATTTCAAGAATCTACATATATCCATTCTTCAATTCTTTTATACTTTCTTCGCTCTATAAATACTAAGTATCGATTCGATATTTCATACTTTGTATTTTTATATATTTTCAATAAGACGAATTTAAAATAAATTTGTCCATCTCTATAAATTCACTACGTCCTTCCAAGATCGGAACTATCCAACACTCCATATCATATAATTTAATCTCCAGCTTCCCCTCCCTCATTCCTCTTCTCTTGCCCCTACAGATTTTTTTCGGAGTCTACCGATTCCACTAAAAGAGAAAGAAAGAAAAAGAATCTAATTAAAATCCAGAAGAAGAAATTTTTTCCATAATCTAATACACAAATTAATATTGGAGAGCCAGATTCTATTTTCATAAAACGAAATTTTATGACTCAAATCCAATAAAAATAGACTATATATGGACGAAACAATCGGTCGGATATTTTAATACCAGACAACAAAGAAAATATATACTAGATTTTTAAAACCGGATTTTTTTTCCGACGAATATCTATAATAGAAAAATTTTCTTAGTGCTCTCATAATAGAAATTAAATATCGACTAAAACAACCTATCTTTCTCAAATTATCAATAATTATTCATAATTTTTTCTTTCTTCAAGAAATAGTTTTTATCATTTTAGCCAGAATCCGAATTTTCATTACTAACTCATACCACTCTAGTTCTAATTCGAAATAAATTATTTTTACATCAGAGTTTTTCTTCCTTATTTCTTATATATTTATTTTTGCCGTCAAGAAATGAGTAAACCTCAATTTAAATATATTTTTTTCACTAACGTACGTAATAAATTTAGTATTTTATTTAAAATTGTATTTCTTTTTTCTTATATAATTATTCCAAATATAGAATCAAAAGAATAAAAAAATCGCCATCTTTTTCTCAAATAGAATTAAATCTCTTCATACTCCGCTGTATTTTATAAAAGCCTAAAATCTCTTAGATAATAAATCTATTACGTGCGCCGAGGTGCGGGGATAAATCTCTATTCTAAATCTTTAAAAAAATATTTCTCATAATAAAAATCGGCGAAATGAGGTATGTCTGCTTTGAAGGAACGTACGATAATTTCGATATTTATAACATTTTCGTTTTTCTCGTCTTAACCAATACGAAGCGGCAACACAAATTTTTTGGAGGTTTTTTGGGATTCGAATATCCTAAGGCCATAAAAAGATAAGAAATGGTATGATTTAGGAGCGGCGACGAAGGTCTCTTATTAGAACTTTTCTTTTTAGAAGATTCGCTGAGCTTTGCGAGCCAAGGCGAATTACTCGATTCTAGGGGTTGGGCATACTGGCGGCCAGCGGAGAAAGTAGCCTTGAGCAAACCCATAAGCTTCTTTCGCCGAATCCCATGGATATGTTGATGATCCGCGCCCCTTTGGAGGCATCCGCAACCCAATGATAGACACACGGCATCCACTGATTTCTGCGAGACCCGGTGGTTGGTCAAGGTGGATCACTCGATGGGTTCCGCCGCGAGGCCGGTCTCGACAAGTTTGCGAGTTGCACGTAGGAGTCCCGATGCTCAGGGCGAGCCGTGAGTCATCTCGTGTGGTTCTGGAAGCGCAGGTCCATCCTTAGAGCCGTGAGGCTGGTTTTGGAAACGCTGATGTGTCGGAATGTGTCGAAGCTATAATCTTTTTGGGACGACCCAATGCTCGAGCAAGTCGCAGGGCGGGAGTCCAATCAGTCCGTTTCGAAGGCTGAAGATGGGGATGGTTGAGCCGATGAGACAATCAAGTCGCTGCACGAAGAAATTCCTGAGCTGGGCATGTTGAACACCTGCAAAAGGGCACCTGCAAAGGCTCACGAAGACCGTTCTTGACGCCGGGAAGCCTCTTCCGCCTCCGAACCAACAAGGCGTCGCAGCTTGCCCAGCAAGATCCTGTCTGCCTGGATACCTCAGCCCGAGATTTCAAAGAGGCTCAGCTCCCCTCTCAGTCTCTGGGACCCGGTGCCTTCCTGACGCATGCGCCGGAGGAGGGAGAGCGCGTCTGCCCAGCTTTCTTGGACGTCAGGGCCAGGGCGCAGGCATGCCTAGTTGCTTCCAAAGGGGAAGCACGGAGACAGAGACTCAAGCTGGAGATTCGTTGAAGACTGACCCCTTCCATCCAGGCCTCAATCGCGCATGTGTAAGACAGAACGTTGGGCGGCAGCGCTGTTTCGCGCATCTCTTGCAGCCAGTGCATCGCACCATGGCGATTAGACGTCTTGGCACAGGCACTGATGATGTTGGTGTACCTCAGCTGCTAAGCAATAACGGGTTCTGGCTTGTATGCAACATGGCAACATGCGTAACCTTCTTACCGGCACTGTACATAATGGTAAGTTACGATATTTTGCAGTAGTTTGCAGTAAATGAGAAGCCACGGAGCGATATGACATTGGGCTGCACACTGCTTTCCAGCATCTGCCGAAGGAATGTTACTGCCAAGTCCATCTGCCCCAGCTGCGCCGCAGAAGCGATCGCCCCATTGAAGGACCTTTCAAAACGAGGATCCCATCCCTTCTGCTGTGTTATCCCATGATATCCCATGGTACAGGTTTCGAGTCTTGCCTGGCCTGGAGTCGGGCTTCAGCTCGGCTTCATGCATGCGCCGGAGCCAAGCCTAACTTCAAAAGACACATGGGGCCCACAAATGCATCCACTCTTAAGTGAGATCTCTGCCTTTTTCTGGCCCTCCCGGCCTCGGCTTCTTTGGGACGTCGTGCCTTGGCACAGCAGAAGATCCTTGGCATCTGAGGACTACAGCTATGCTCTGATGCTCTCGTGATTGGGACATGACATGACATGACTTTCACCCCTCTCCAGGACACGTGCAAATCAGAAGTGTTCACATTTCCGGGTGGAACACTCACGAGAAGTGTTGCTAAATTCCCTTGCTGTAAAGGGCTTCTTTGTCAGCGCTGCGGAACCCCGAACTCCGACACGTAAAATCACCCCAAGCAGGCAACATTGGACGACTCCACGTCAAAGTCTCAGCACAGCGGCACGCAAGAAAATGCCGCCTCGTCCGGGGAGTGCTGGTCGTTCACCATCTGATGGAACCAATGCGTGACCTCCTGAAGAGAAACATCTTTCCTTGGTCAAGTTCAGATACTCGGTACCGTGATCCCGTGTTGCGACTGTCTTTTAGCCAAGCATCTTCTTGGAAAAAGCATCCAGGATCCCGGTGTACGATGTCGGATTCGGCCTCAGGCTTGCTGCTTGCATCTGCTGCAGCCAACGGATCGCCTGGGCAGGAGGCATCCTACGCAGTACAGAAGCTTCGGGTCATTCGGGTCCTGGCCTTAGGCCAAGGGCTTCGGGGTATAGTTAGGTGGAGAGTAGTAAGGGGCAGGAGTAGGGTGAGGGGTAGGGGAGTGTGGGTAGTGCTAGGCCTGGATGTAACATTGGGGCTGCGGGCGGACTAGCGACCTGTAGAAGCACCAGGACCGGCCGAAGCAGCAGGAGCAGCAGCTATTGTAGTAGTAGTAGTAGTAGTAGTAGTAGTAGTCGTAGCAGTCGTAGTAGTCGTGGTGGTGGTAGTGGTGGTCCTGGTGGTCCTGGCAGGCGAGGCTTGGGGGGAGGAGTAGCTGTAGCATCTTGTTGATGTTGCCCCCCTGCTCAGCACTAGCTCTGTGCCCGGTGTTCCGTTAGCCTGTCTACCCCCCTGAACCTAGGTCTTGGGCTGAGGTCCTTCGGGCATACAGGTGGAGCTTCTTTCACAAGCAAGCTGCAAACCATACACGGTGTTGACATTGCTTTTGGGAGCGCATCGAACACAAAGTTGTAGGAGCACACATTGAACCACGAATAGTCTAGAGATTTTAGTCTAGAGATGTTATCTCTCGCAAACCTTCACAAGAACCTCGTCGGCCTGCTTGGGATTTCCAGCACGTGCGCTGGCGGAGATGATGCTGTTGTAGATGATGAGATTTGGCTTCAGTTTCGAAGCCTCGGCCTCCTTCAACCACAATGCCGCATCTGCAACCTCGAAAGGTGACTCAGGACGGGCTCGGCGGCTAGCTTAGCACACGAATTCGGGAGAAAGGCAAAGCCGATGGGGGTGGCTCTTCCGGAAAAAAGATCCTGGCAAATAGGACTAGCGAACCCGATAAACACAACTGCGGTCCAGCCTGTCCCAGCTGAGAGAAGGCATGCACAATGCCGCCGAACACCACAAGGTCCGGCTGAAGCTTCCGAAGTTGCATCTGCTGAAATACCATGACCGCGGCATTCGGCTGCCCTGATTTCGCGCAGGCATCAATCACCTTGCTTTCGAGGATTTGCACAGTCTTTGCAGCTTCTCGCGAAACCCATCCCTGAGGGCCGTGATTTCCATTTCTGTCCAAGTTTTCATTTCTACAGGGGCTGCTGCTACCCTGAAGTTGGCCAGGATTCGTAGGTCGTCAAAGCTGCTAGAGCTCCTAACAGAATGTCAGCCACGGGGCTGCTCCGTAGCAAATGGCATTGGGTTCCACCTGCTCCATGTCCTGGGAAATGTGGTTTAGCGCTTATATTATCGACTATAGACCAGCGTCTCAGTATATATAGTACCTTATACCAGTAGTCAAAACATATTCAGTTATACTTCATTATGTATATGTGTATATATACATAAAAAAACCTGGCTCCGGCGACTTAGAAAGCTAATAGAACGAAACCAAGCGGCCATGCGCTCCAGCCATGCGATGGCTTCCATCGACTTCCCGGCCTCTTCCGAGTTTTAGGGTTTAGGGTCTAAGGTGTAGGGTTTTCCAAGATGGTACAGCCAAAGGCTTCTACGAGCCAGTGGCGCCACAGTATGACATGCAGGTAAGTTCGCAGAATGCCTTGGCTAGCGAATGCAGGACGCTGCCAAATGAATGGGGAGTTGCTGCGAAACCCATCTTCTTCGCAGCGAAGAACAAAACCTGCAACATACATCGACATGCAGACCCACCGCTGATGACCTGCGACTAGCCGAGGGCTCATCCGATGCAAGTCACATGAAGTCACAGAAGCAATGACGAAAGGACGGCTCGTTCCAAATGGCCTCCGCCTCTTCGGCACGACCAGCCTGAAGCAACGCTGCTACGTACCATTGGAAAGCCAGAGAGTCCCAAAAGGGCCTGAGCAGCCGCATCGAGAAGCATGTTAACGACAACGGAATCCTTAGACAAGTTGCGGGCCGAAGCCGGGAGACAGAAAGACCAAGACTATGTGACTCCGATGAGTTCTCACACGACTGCGCATTTTCTGTTGAGAGGCGGCTTTGAAGTCCTGAGAGCGTCGGCTCATCCAGGCCATCGCAGACTCCAAATCTCCACTCTTGGCATAAGCTTCGATGATCTTCCCATAGGTCCTTTCTCAAAACAAGGAAACTCTCTCTGCTATCCTCGCTTTGCTCGGCTGCTCTCTGGTTTTGCGCTGTCCTGGCATTGACCCGAACGCTTCGTGCTCGCATCTGCCCGTAGAGCCAGGCTGCTTTCTGAGAAGAGCCATGGTTCGCGAAAGCCTCGCGAACGACTCAGGGCATCAGCTCATCAACCGTCATTTCGCGACAAGAGCGCTGCCTTCAGCAAAGTGTTGTAGACCACGGTGGACTTCTCGAGGGGTACTTGTGGAATCAGAGTCTCGAATTCACGTTCAGCGCGGTCCACATCTCCATCCACGGCGGCCTCATTCAGCCGATCCAGGCCCAGGCGGTTGAGCCACGACGACCAAAGCCGTGCACGTGGACACAGCAAAGGCGGTACAATCCACGTCAGGGACATGCACCATGACTGGGCACTACCACAAGAACTCCGAGAAGCCCCGCAAGCTTCACATCCCCGGCCCTAGTATGCCCCCGTAGTTGCACGTGTTCGCAAGTTATATGATGGGCCGCGAAGCAGGATCCTGAAATCTGAAACCCTTCTTCTTGGAAGCTGCTTGAGCTCGACAATGCTGCTGGGGATGCAACCAGAAAGGATTTCCAGCTTCAAGCTAATATTGTATACTATAATGTAATATGATGCAATCCAATATACTATACTCCAGTATAATGTAATATACTATAAGGTAAAGTCTTATATGCATGTATGATCATTTCATACCTTTGCATACCGAAAAACGATGGCAAGCCTTGGTTGGCCCTCGGAGTCCCTAAACCCTAAACCGCAGCGCATTTGGAGGTCCACCCTTTTGGTGCGCCGCGCATCCTCGCATCAGCGCGCCACCGGCCAGCGGTTCAAAGAGGCCTAAGGCAAACTGCCGCTGATGCCGAGGTGTGGAGCAATTTTGCCTTTGACCGGATGGCTCCATTATGCTCCATCGATCAGTAGCCGTAGCCACGTTCCCAACATCTGCATGTACCACTGAACACATGACACATGCCCAAAGCAAGCGGCAAAAACAGTGGCGCACTCCCCCAAGCCCTAACTACATGCACCAGCGAACATATGCCCAGAGTAAGATAACAACAATGAAACAAGATCTGGAAACCCGTCTTGGAAGCTGGCCATTCGTGCGTGACTGTGCGTGGTGGCCTCAGGTCTTCACGGCTCGCCTCTCTAGACCGCAACAGGCAAATCATGGGAATGTGGGAATTCGGGATCCGGGGCTGCAGAGTATGCTCAAGTCGACACGTGATGTCGGAGTTCAGAGTCTTACTTGAGCTAAAGATGACTGGCGATGCCTGGCCCAAAAGCATCATCGTCATGACTGGGGAGGGCATTGTGTGGACTTCTTCGTGTCGCCTGAACCTGGCCGCAACAGATCCGAGACCCCGGCGCTGGGATAGGCGGTAGCAGCTGTGGCAAAGCTCGACCTCGAGTGCCTCCATCCACAAGGTTCCGCCCAGCAACTGCGCAGGAAAGCTGCGGCAATCCAGCCAGCAGTGCGCGAAGTGACGTCCCATGGAGCTGCGGCTGACCATGGAAATTGGCACCTGTCCAAGGCTCCGTGCTCTGCACACCTCCGTCTGCGCAATACGGCTCCAACTACAGCACGGAAGCAGGGCAAGATCCGAGGGACGGTACCTGCACTGGCACCGCCGGCACTGTTGGAATCACCCAAACACTTGGCCACGACGAGAGACCTGCAAAGATGCTGCGTAGTGAAGTGGTTGCATACAGATTGAACTCTCCGGCTGGCCTTGGAGTCGTGGCTGGTTCACAGGCACCACACCTAGGTAAGACGGGTCGCAGCACGTGACCGAGCGCCGTAGCCTCGTGTGTCTTGCCTGAGAACCCTCGGCCGCTTGGCGCAGCATGCGCAGCAATTGCGAACCTGGCTCGAGATCACAGAATCCAGAGCATTACTTTATAGTAACACCCATATGTAGCAATCATGTCGCCACCTCTGCGGCGGGACGCGGGCCGCAACTGCCGGTGCTGCGTGACCTGTGCTTGTGAGAACCGCTTTAAGCTGCTTGAAATGACACGAGCCCTGTGTAAGGCGCATGCAGGATGTCTGGGGGAAGGCCACGTAGCTTGTCTGGCCACGATGCTCTTTGCTGAGTCGCCTTTAGCCACCCTTCCACCCTTCCCTGCCTGCGCGGATGTACTTGGCGCACCTGCCTGGTGAACCTTGCGAGCTAGTGTTTCGCACGGCCAAGCCGTGACATGCTACTCATGCTGCTCGTTACGCTCGTATGCAAAAATTAAATGCCATCATCACTCCACCGTGTGATCACAGAGTAGCAGACAGGGCTTGATGAGGTCGCAACGGGCTCAACGGACTCTGGCAGCGGAGGTGTTGCTACCAGCTTTGGCGACACGGCCTTCAAGTCTGTCCAAATCAAGCACTCCAAGCACACTCAAGCTTGACACAACCATGCACTGGACAAAGCCGTGCGCGCTGTCTGAGTCTAAGTTCGTGCGCCTCTTTTTATTAACCAAGGCGCCCCGTTGAATTCGTCCATAAGCGGAACACGTTGAAACTGCAGCTACCACTCCAATCCATGAAAACAGAAAAGCAACGGGCGCAAAGCTTGCAATACAGTCCAGAACTAGATGTTCCGTCACGCTAGTTTACTAGAGTCTGTCACACGGGTTGCATCTTTCCGCAAGGAGCTCAAGTCGCTCAAAGCCAAAATAAGGAGTTCGATTTTGTCTTGTCGGTTGCATGGTCGCTTGCAGATGTTCTGCCTTCCTTCTGGAAATGTTGAATTTCCAATCGGCAGGGGCTCACAACTCAGCCAGAGCACCACAAGTGCAGGTTTGCCCAGCCGGCCTGGCTGCGGCGCCCAATGTTCTCGCTGGCGAATGATCGGCTGCGCAGCCGGACTCCTTC